CTCAAGAGATTGAAAAAAAAGAGGCAGCCGATGGGAAAAAAGGCCTGGGCCATAGTTATGAAATATGTGCACACGGTTGCACACAACCTTAAAAACATGACTAACAGTTACAAGGCACCTTTAGTGTCCTCAGCGCCCCGCAAGTTGGCGAGCCTGTGCGCATGAATTCCCACTGCAACGAGGTTTTCCCTTGTGGGAAGAAGAAAGCAAGGCTGTATGTCGCCTGCTTGGTTGGCGTGGTGTATGAGATCCTGCTTAGTTGGTAGGCTTTATATCGGCCAAACAGGCCGGTGCATAAACAACACAATTAGGGAACGTGAACTTTCCATGAAAGATAAACCTTTGGCACATTCGCATGTGTATTGTAGTTCCTGCATGTGTGAGCCTGGATTTTCCAGTATATCCATTTTTGGAAAGAGTAATGACAGCACCTGAAATCATGGAAGCATACTTGAATGTAAACATTCAACAGAAGTCTGTCTGGTTGAGTATGAAACTGGGAGATGAATTAGACTTAACCAAACTTTTGGTTGGAGTCTAAATCATCTCCTTGGAAGCATACTGCATTAAGAAGAAGACAGGTGTGTGTTAGTGAAACATATGTTGATCTGCATGGTGGTGAATTCAATTTCTTCAAATCTTTTTTTCTTTAGTGGCTTTTTTGTCTGTTTTTGATCAATCTTGTCATATGTTTTCTGGCGAGCATATGAGGCGATGTGGTGCGCATAGTTGCTATGGTTATACATATGTCGCTAATATCCCGAGAATAAAGTTAGTTGCGAGTGATGCCCTTTTCATTTTGTCTTTAATTTTTCTTCCTTGATGGTCTGCGATGTTATGTGTTTCAGTAAACATGTAGTCAATACTCATTATAATGGACCCGTGTATGCAGCAGACCTTCGAACCATTATTCAGCCTAAGTTTGGTCTGTGTGTTAAATTAGGATACAAAGGACTGAAAGGACTGTTGGCTTCAGTGGACAAAATGAGTGGCACTTTTTCTTTTTTTTTTTTTCCGAAATTGGGCCGTCAGGCCATACCTTTGCAGTGTTGACCACGCCGGTCTCTGCACACTATACCACAGTATAATGTTAAATTCTGGCTGGCAACATTGGTGGCTTCCAGGCAAGCGAGTCCAGCGCCTCCTCAATTTTTTTTCACTGCCCGGGCGAACGCTCTTTTCAGGCCGTCGAGCGCGCGCTCCTCCTCCGCCGCTCGCCGCTGCAACATGGTGGCGCTGCGCGAGTAGACTACGGGATGCTGGCACTGAACAGCCGCACGTACTAAGAAGCTCGCGAATTCGTGTTTTCATGCGAGTTAATTTGCAGTCGTGTTTCTTGACGGCTTTCACGGATGAAGGGAGGATGAAAAGCAACACGAGCATAGCGGCGTGCTGTTTTCACCGGGCTCTGTCAGGCCATGCTACCGGTTCGATATATGTGTTCGAGTTTTATAGCATTCGTGCTTTATTTTCTCTTTCAAGCTATTGAAACCTTATTATTTGCATGCCTCAGTATCTAATACTACTGTGTACCACCTGCATATCTGACGGAAAAAAATCAGATGGTCTTTTTTATTTCTGATTAATTACAAAAAAAGAAAAACTCACCGGTCTTCTTATGGATTCACCTAAAACGACTGAAAGGCAAACACTATGCTCGTTTTCTTCCGATTAAATGCTCTGAGTGTTTCCTACTTCCCTCCGGGATATTTCTGCGCCAAACATGTTCTTCTTACTGCCTCGAGAATTGGAGACAAAGCTAGTTTTCTGCCCCTCAGCTGGTTATGCACTGCCCCCATGATCGGCCCATTTCAGCCAAGCGAAGAATTTATATGATGCCGTCAAGTTATGTGACTTTCTGATACGTCACAAACATTTATGATATGCGACGTCGTATGATCACATTTTTCACGTAATGATGATTTTTTGCATCACTCGTGTTCACGCCGCCGAAGCGAGAAGACGTAGGAGGTCACCAGTGATCAATTTTCACTTTTGATGAGGCATTTAATATCGCCTTAATGTACTGTATGACTGTAGCTCCGTGAAATTGCAGCTTCCGCTGCTGTTCGGGGGAGCGTGCTTGCAGTAATCAGGCAGAACAATTGGTCTCCTAATAAATCTTCGTACTACACTCTAATACGTAGTCGTCATTTACAACCTGAGTATTTTATAGATTATACGTTGTGGTGGCTGAAGGCTATGCGTCACGTTTAGCAACATGGCAATTGGTTTCACTAAATGAGAGTGAGCTGCATCCGAACAGTGAACGAACGCTGCCTCGCAATCCTTTCAGCGTGCAATGCAAACATTCAGCCCTGAAGCTCAATGGGAGCCCATGGGCACTACACAGCCATTCGGCCTCTACTCTGCTCGCTACCGAATTAAACGGCCAGAGGGAATAAGAAAGAAACAGAGCTGAGCGACCGGATATCAAGGCTACAACAATCCATCCACGAATACACAGACAAGCTCAAGCAACTGACCACCGGCCGCATTTTTCAAGCCTGTCACCTTGGCTCAAGTTGAGACTCGGCATTAGACTTCAGACTTATAACAGCGCCTGTTCAAAACATAGCCAATGATCGCAGAAATTGCACCGCATAAGAAGCTGTTTTTGTTTATTTCACGATTTTGTTGTTTAAGCTCTCAAATGGTGAAATCACATGCTATGGTTCCTCATTTTCTGACACTTGCTTTTTTGTGGTGGCAACACATGTCATGTTTTGCAAAGGAAACAGATGATGACCTATACTTCTGGAAGCAGTCTAGTGGCATTTTATGCTATTTAGTGCTGCATGAACTCCAGGCTTGCGCATGATGTGTTACGACACTAGAGAGTAGCAAGCATTGGGGAACATTAGGCACCTAAGCTTTTAATATTAGCTCCTGGCAAAGGCTTCTCTCAAAAATCGGCTGTCAGTTAGTAAAAAGGACAACTCTTAGTCAAGTGAACGCCACGGTGACAAAACGATCTTCAGGGGATTACTGGCATCAGCTATCTGGTATCGGCCTAGCAGACGACGTGCGACAGTCTCGTTCAAGTAGTCGGGAACAATACATGCCTTTGAAATGAGCTGGGTGTCCAAAACAACAAGTGCTTCACGATTCTTGTTTCCAAGTTTCCATTACATTTTAAACAATGAAAATACAGCCGCAAACCGAGCCGTATAGCTGCTTTGAATGCAGCCACGGCATTCATTTGGGCGAGAGATGACGCAGCGACATCTGTACTCCAGTTGCGGCGCCCGGTGGCGAAAAGCTGCACTAGCACCGACGGCTGCCTTCCATTTAAATCCACTCCTTCGTCCGGGCACTGAAAAAACAGAGGAGGCACTGGCCAGTCTTAAGGTAGGTCCCGTCAATGATTCCAGTGTTGCTGACTGAAACGGGGTGCAAAGTGATTGCATCATCGCTCAAAAGTGTTCTCCAATTTGATTCAATCCTTAATCTCTTATCACAAATACCCTTCCAAGCTAAGTGTCAATAAAAAGCTTTTGTTCCTGTTTAGTATTTGTCTCTCACTGCAGTAACGCTGCAACCTAAGTCGTCAGAGACGTTCTAGTTGTCAAAGCAGGTGAGTTCCACTGTAAAAATAGAATGCTAATATGAGAGGTGCCTTGGTGCTGCTCAGTTCAGAACTCTCAGACCAACTTTGGCCCGTCCAACAGTGCCGCTGACACTGTGCAGGAGCAACAGCTCTTGGTGACCTACAGGTAGCCAAATTTAAGCAAATATACATTCCTGTCTGATCCAATAAGAAAGAATTTATTCCAAGCTGATCAACATAAGTGGCTGAAAAAGCCTGATAGAAACTATTATCGGGCTAAGCTTTTTATCTGTGCAGTGGCAACATAGTGTTCCTGAATCTATTGTAATATCAGAACTAATCTGCTCCATACTGCTGAGCGAAATTGAAACGACTGTCACACAGCAATGCAGCCCCGCCTCCACTCCTGAGGAATTAAGATATAACAAAATTTTGATAAAACAAACTGGTTTTACCGGATTATCATGGTCTGTTGTAATGAAAGCTAGTTAATTTTCAGGCTTTCTTCCACCGTCAAAGATGTGACGAAAGATGTACAAGGCGTTGCTTGCCTTCTTGAGTGTCTCGAATGAGGAAAAGACAACTGTCATATCCCACGGGACGCTTCACTGAGTGCCTTATCCACTGCAACACACGAACAAATTATCCACGATATTTCTTCATCCACATTGTAACCTTTCTGTGGATGAGAGAACGGTGAAGTCTGTGAAGTCTCTGGTATTCAGCATTTTGCTTTCATGCTCGAGCTCGTTGACCAGCTGCTAGGCTGCGTTGAGCATCATTCAATGGGCCCCACGATCCCTCCTGTTGCGTCTCCTAAAAGTTCATCTCAAAGGCCTCGCGCAACAATTACGAAAAAAAAAATTATGGGAAAATAGTAGAGCTATGCCACGAAAAAAGAAAAGTCGAGCAGAAAAGAAATGTCTCAAGCAAAATATATGCAGCCAGCCTCTGTTTCACTGCATCACAAGCTGCTTTGCACAGTGCCATATAGGAATTAGTGGTTATATTTTTGCTTGTACTATATGATAAATAGTTTTTGCACTAAAAGAGCTTATTTGTGAACATTTATTTCATAAGGGGCCTTATACTCCAAACGTCCACTTCTATTTTTCTAATGTTCACCATGCGGAGAGTAAGAACAGGTTACAATTCTTTCTTTTCTTGATAACTTTTTTTGTTTTTTATAATTCTTTTGATAATACTCATAATAAATATGTTGGCAAAAGTTAGTACTGTGGGAAATACTAATTCCTTCTCTATCATTTGATACCTAACACTTTCACATCAATCATTTTATATGGCAAGAAAAGACTGTCCTGTACTACCTAAAAACAAATTTTTCTGTGGCCACAAATGTGTCAATAAAACGCCTTGATATAGGTCGAGCTGTCTTACGATTACTGACATGTTTAGATATGTCCGGCATTGAATGCTAAAACCAACACACCTCACAAGCGTCCATCGCAAACGTGGCCAGGTAGTTGGGGTCCTGCTTGTTCCAGGCCAGACGTAATAGCGGCTGGTGTTGCGGGTCTTCGTAGATGATGGTCGAGTGCTCCAGGTGGCGCAGGTCAAACATCCGCACTGACCCATCTGCCCCGACACTGGCGAACATGTCACGGCCGCCTCCTGCCCGAGAGAATGCGATGTCATACACCTCTTTGTCGTGGGCAATCAGTTGTGTCTTGACGTGACCGGACACGGCGCCGCCTCCTGCCATCGCACGGCCCACCACCTGACCCGTCTGCACAAATGATAAGGACCGGTTGATGGTCTTTGGCCCCACACGTGAAACTCTTTATAATGATTCTTGTCTCTTATTCAGTTAAACATGACTATAAGGAACCTCCATGCAACAAATTCTTTGATAGTACCAAGTGTTTCTTACTCCTTAGAAGATGTAGTGACCTTTATGTAAAAAAGTGGCAGTAGGGGACACCCCTAATATAACAAGCTTTCCTCACCGATAATAGAGGAATTTCGCCCTCAAGTTTGGTCATTCTAGCACGAGTGAGAGCTGCACGCATCTTCTGCGGTTGCCCCGCAGCCGACGGAGTGTGAAGCAGTGTCTCGCATGACAAGCGATTTCCCAGCGGCTGTGAGGCAGACAGGTGGCGCTGCATCCCTCAAGCCAGCCTCTTTGCCATCGCGCAAATGGGCAGGTGTACCCTTCTCCTCCACCCTTCAAACCCCATTTGGTGGTTAGCGTGGTGGCTCAAGGGTGCCACCACGCTAACCATGTCAGCTTTCTTTAAAAAATTTCAACAATGTTTTTGCAATGGCAGTGCTACTCTTCGGTTGTAGCAGAAGTTTGTGAACTGAGAATGTGACACCAGATGAAAGCACTTGAAAAAAATTCTTGTTTCGTGGTATATTTTGAATTTGTGCCGCATATAGAGCGCTTTTCTTCTCGGTATTCCGTGGTATCTGTGCAGCTTCCTCTCTGTTTTTGACACTGTGCGTGTGTGCATGGTTTCACTACACATGCATTGAGCAGCCCCTGGCGACGTGCAGCATTGTTTTTTTTTTTTTTATGCGGACAACTGTGTCCTTCCTATTCAGGAGATGAGAAAATTTAAAAGTGAGGTGTGCTGCAGCCGACGTTTCGACAAGCAGACTTGTCTTTCTCGGAACTGCAACATAAAAAAAAAAGGACAAGCCCACTTGTTGAAACATCAGCTGCAGCATACACTCCCTCTTTTTGTATTTCCTATTGCAAGCTTCTACCTTCCCCTTCTCGCTTTTTTTTTTTTGGATATCTATGAGGCACCGGAGGAAAACTTACAAGACTGCACTGAAAAAGGTGGACATTGTAGGTCGACTCGTCATGCACATTGCCTTTCTGCGCTGCACGGTGGGTTTCACTAGACCATGACCTCCGAGATGAGCACCGGCAACGCAACAACACATTGCCGTAGCCCATCTCGGAGGCCTTGGCCAGACGATAATGGTGCTGTGTTGTACCGATGTTCTACAACTGTTCAGCATTTCCATCTCTCTCGAGCAAGGAATTGAACAAAATGCCATTTTTTGCCACTAAATAAATGTTTTGCGTAAGCTATCACTTCCATTCCTCTTATGTTTATTTGTGCATTTATTTCCCAAATTTTCATGTTGAGACTCTAATAGTAAAAACCTGTTTGTAAAGAATTTTTTCTGAAATATGTCGATTTCATTTTATCCAGGCTGAACTGCGTAATGTGCCTTCTACAAGCAGGTAATGTGCACTGGGGAGCTAATTAGTTTGACGCTGAACCAAATAAAACTGTGCAAGGAACGAGAAACAAGCAGTAGTAGAAAAGATGGTGACTGATATCGTAGCGAATACTCATGCGCACGTGTGCTAGGTCGGCGAACTCACTCAAACTCAGATCAAGCCGTGAGCCTACCTAAGTCTCAGAGAGTCTAGAAAACAGTAATGCCTTGGTGAGTCCGAGTGAGTTCAAAGTGCGAGATATATTTCTTCAGTGAGTCTGACTGAGTTACAATTTCTTTTGCTGACCTATGCTGCTGTCAGATGTGGAGGTCTGATGTTTTAAGTAAATCCAGTTGTTAGTCTGTGCCTGTCTTGTCGACTTATACTTGTATCCCCCTATAGATGAATGACCGTGATGTGAATAATTCCTCTATAAATCAGACATCCAATGAACTTCGCTGTTTTGCGTAGCGTCACTTCTTTCCATGAGCCACTTCACTCCGCATAGGTTGGCGTTCCCATATCGGGGTTCGTAGAGACTCTCAAAGCGAAAATTCAAGGATATTCAAGAACTTTCCAGGACCTGTGGCAAGTTTTTCAAGGACTCAAACTAACATGTTAAGTTTGAATTTTCCATGCCAAAATTTTCAAAAATTACCAATTTTATTGCACTCACAATATATGGATATCGCATCTATAAAAAAAAGCATAGCCTTTATAACTTCTCACACCCTCCCAATTGGACAGGGCATACAATCATGTCGGAAAGTTACCCGCCGATGGGCTTCAACGCGCATGTATAGTCAGGCCTCAAAGGGGTCGCGCCGCAATATTTGTGGCTTGCACGCTCTTTGCTGTAAGCTTTAATTATACCTCAAATAAGCACAATACACACACCACGATTAATTTATTCTCACTATATAATTTGTCGCCTTTTTGATACGGACAATTTTCAGCTCCTGTTTGTGAAAACCAAGTTGTGCAGGTACATAGCAGTGTAGCTGACGTAGTCCCGTGATCACAAAGCTTGGCACGTGTGCCGCTGAGTATTGTCAGCTCTCGCACACATGTGCCAAACAAGCACTTGCAAGACAAACTCGCCGCTACCTGCAGCAGCCCTGATGCTTTGCCAGTTTGTACGGAGCGAAAGTCTGGAGGTCACTCAGCTGACTACAGATCTGGTGTGACGTCACTAGAACTGTTGTTGCTTTTCCTGTAAAACCAGGTCAGTGCTGGACGCACTCATGATAGGTCTCGATTAGGAGAAGAGGCATTTAGGTACACTTGAAAAGTGACTTAAAATATATTGTTAAACAGACACGGTCCCTTGAAATTTGACGACACCATACCATCAAGAGTGTCAGCTTGTGCACAGTTGACACTCGCAGCACGTTGCTCAACAACTAAGAAGTAACAACTGGGACAGTGGTTAATTTACACTCATCCTGTGGATACAAGTGTGTTCTTTTCTAAGACCGTACTTGTTTAAGCAACACGTATCCAGTGTCGAGCTATGACAGTAGTTCATCAGCACTCGTCTTGTGCCCTTTTTTGCGTGCGTCCGTGCTTAAGCGGTGTGTCGCATGTATGTGGTTGCTTGCCCTTCTTCGTATGACATTCTAATTTCTTGCTATCACATTCACTGCTTTACCCTTGCCAGAAACTAACTTTTTTTTTCACATGCACTTTTATAAATGGGACCATGTGCAACCACGCTGCATTAATACCTCAGAAATGAGCAGTTTGACCGGTTCGCACACCGATGTATCATATTTAGAAGGTCGCGATGTCGATATGAGAGTGCACTGCTCAGGAAATTCAAGGACTTTCAAGGATGGCAAAATATTTCAGGACTATCAAGGGCTTTGAAAATGCACTTTTGAAATTCAAAGGTTTTCGAGGATTTCAAGGACCTGTACAAACCCTGCAATATGAGCATCCAAGCATAATTTTTTGCATGTTTGCACATCATATTAAAGAAAAGAACAATATCGCATGCAGTCCTAAAACATTCTTTCACTGCTCCATAGAAAGAGACAAGATGAGCTCGCCTTCTTTTCGCAAGAAGCTCGGCAGTCGGCACCAGCACACAGCACTCCAGAAATGTGGGGACCTTGCACATAACCAGAGTAGCTATAAGATTGTGCAGAAAGGTCAGCAGCTACGTACTGTGGCAGAGGAGATAATTTGAGGCTGAAAACAAAACAAACCCAAGAACGGCTCTGGACGTCTCAGGCCGTCACAAAACATCATCGAAATTTAAATTTGAAGCTAAGATGCTATCATTCTCGAACTCTAGGCTCGTCCTCATTGACTTCAGGTGTGGTTTCAAAACAGTTTCGAGTGGCACGCGTTGTTTTGCAGCGCAGGTGCGCCCAATGCGCGCGTTACGACGATGCCATAGGACCGACCAGTCCTGTGTTTGATGCGGCTCTGTGTCTGATATAACGATACAAGCGTAACCAAAGCTGCTGGAAACTGACTGAGAAGACCACCTCCACGATTCACGCATGTGGCAGACTTTCAGAATTATATTTTGTCGAATATATTTTCCCTCCCTCCTAGCAGCAGCTCTCTATTGAATAACTGGCATAAATTTCTGGCAATTATTACTGCTCAACACTGTCAGATTGCGCAGCCAACATCTTAATTTGGTATTTGACTTGCAAAGGTTCTTTTGATTACAGCACTTTGATGTTACTGTCGCATAAGCACGAGGGCACGCTATTCGGTCAAGTTCACCAGACGTTTGCATTTTTTTCAACAACACAGGCACATTGGATTGTGCAAATGTCTGTCAAAATCACTGTTTTGCCAAAACTGACAAATTCACATTTATTCTGTAAGTCAGGTGGCTGAGCTAACAACTAGAAAGTGCTGGGTGCACCAGAAACAAAGGGGAACATTCCAAAATCGAAGATCCATAGCATCGGTCAGCAGTGATCGATTTGAATAGACGAGGTAACGAAAGACTTAAGAGATTTACGCTTTTGAGAGCCTACCGTTATTGACGACCGAAAGCACACTCCAGACAATGGCCCTACCTCTAGACCCCAGATAGTGCAAGTGGTGTCGATGCTGGACGTTCCAAGCAGGTTGGGATCCACCTCGTTCCAGTCGAAAGAGGTCAGGGGTGCACAGAAGTCGGAGTTCTTGTTGTTGTTCAGCAGGCACTCCAGCCGCGTGTCCTCACCCGCACGCCACACCCGCAGGTAGTCCCCGCTCGTTGCCAACAGGTCGGGAAACACACCCTGCAAAAGGACCCCCGAGGCAAGGAGAAAAATTTCAAACACCCATGCACCTATCAAGAAAATAGGAGAATGTGCATGCCTCATTGACTACTTTTTTTTTTTAGTATTGCATTGGGATATGCTCCCTCATAACTTTCTCCACATGCTTAGCAATGCATTGCTACAGTTGCTACAGGCAAGAACGAGGATACAAGTCCAGGCAACAATGGAATGTGAAATGACAAGAGACTTTGATAAAAGATAAGAAGCCCACTAGCTCAGGATACAGAGAGCATCAATTAATAGAAAAAAGCACATATAAATACGCATGCGACTGCCATGACTTTCAAGTCTGCCATTTCTTTATGTTCACCAGGGCTGGGTTTTCCCCAAAATTTGTGAGGTGAAACAATCTTTGCAAGAACAGCTTTGTATAGTCTGAAAATCAAAACACAACATCTGTGGTAGAGTTAGCAGCGAGGCTGACTACTAAAAGCCTGTTATGTTCTTTGTCCAATGCCAATCACATTTCACTGACAGGACCCATGTTGATGCAGACAAACACGAAACTGGACAAGTGCAGCGTCCACACTTGTTTCATCTTGTGTTCATCTATGCCTCAACAATATCAGTGTTGCTGAAACGATTACAACTAGGCAAGTACTAGCCTTTCATTATTTTTGAAGCAGATACTGCTACGAGTAAGAATCCCACTCTCTACTGCTTGTTGTATACTTTTGAATAAGTAACAGCATCTTTCCAGCACACACTTTGGTAACACTAGGAAGTAGTATTCCATTCAACCATCTCAAAACATACAGCTGCGAATGGAAGCTTTCTTCCTGGCAATGACATTGAACGTGTCTCACTAAATTATTGAAATGTGGTCATACCAACAATAACACCAATGAAATTACCAGCGGTGATGAGGCTAATGTTGTCAAAGTCTGTGAGCCACAGCCAGCTCACCTTCGTGTCGGGTATCCACATTATTTTTGTGGTTGGGTACGGATGCTCAAAGGTGCTCTTGGCCAAGAATTCAGAGGTGTCTTCGTCCAACGATACCAGTTGCACCTACAGCACAAGAGGCACAAAAGTATTGATCAAAATACAAACAGCAGAAGACCTGCAACACCTTTCCAGCATGGTCAGAAAAGTCTGCCGATTAGAAGTTGACACTCCAGAGAACATGCTAGCCAAACATTATGGTGCTGCTAAATATTAAAATTTATTCGCGAATTCAGTGAGGAATCATTCTTTATTTTTTCTCCAAAAGATCCCATATAGCCAAATGACTACGCCGTATAGTGAACCCAAATTCATGGCTGCCTTCAGCAACATGAGCTGCTTAGTTAACCTGTTTGTCGCAAGAAGCCACCATGTGTTTGCGTGTGTACTCGCAATTAGACAGACGGTAAGTCGCGTGTTTGAAGGAAAAGGTGCTGAAGATCATGATTCGTGTGTAGACCTATGCGGCGGTACCAAAACTGGCGGCGGCGGCGCGCCATTGTTTTAACCTTCGGCGGCAGTGCGTGACCGGCGTAGGACTCATCAGATTGGCAGGTCGCGGCGCCAAAGGGGTGGGGTTATATACTCCAGAGCGAGGAGGAGAGAGCAAAGAGTCATTTGAATTGAAAATAATGGAAAGAAATTTGCCAATACCATGAAACTATGGACTACTGTCTCCTTGAGCAAAGCTATGTATTGCTAGATTCCGCTTCGGTTCTACGCAGCACGCCGGTGGTGTTCCGTGGCTCCGGAGTATGATGGTGGAAGCCACCTTCATTTTGCTATGCTGCTCGTTGCCTTTTTTTGGCAGGACTTTGATAAGGGCCAAGAAAACCGCCATTGCCAGGATGGAAGCGTTTGATAAAAAGAAGAGCTTCGCGAGCTTTCCGCTAGGAAAGGGAGCATGTGCTGCTGCATTGGGAAAGGCCGGATTGGACCCACCGATGTCTGTGCCTCAGTTTCTTACGACGTCAATATTGTCCTAGCAGCGTTACTAGCAGTTGTGAATAGTTTTTGACTAAACTAGCACGCACATAGTAAGTACTGAAAAATAAGGTGCAAGGAAAGAGCATCAGAATGCAGAAAGATGTGACCAGGCACTACAGTGACGGGAAGTCGCTATACTGGAACGCATTTTGTCAGAAGGACCGGTAAGGTCGATATAGCTGCCTGGTCGCGGATGAACAATAGCGCAAGATTTCGTGTGAAGTGCTGCACTCAAATGAGTGTAACGTTCACCCGTCACCTCTCGTGTATTTATGTGACCTTCAGCAAGAACGTGGCTCGTGTCCAAGCACATCCAATTTCTTTATGCTACAGTGACTCCAAAGCAATGTTTACCATGGTGACAAAGCAAGTAAAAGGCGGTATGATGGATAAAATTATTAAAGTTTTTATGCGATCAATATATATATTACCAAGGTTTATTGCACAATCTTTCAGTAAGGCATCCGTTTTTTTTTGGGGGGGAGGGGGGCCCTGGGGGGAGGCGGAGCAGCTGGGGCAGAGAGCTGCATCTCAATACCTAAATGACGATTTCGTGTGCTCAAAGGATCAGATACAATGGCACTTGGTTCGTTTTCTTTAGTTATGCAGGTATTTATTTGCATGAGTAAATGCAAACCAGCAGATATATTTATCTGCCTAAGGAAGTTATGAAAGACATAGAAGCAGTAGAGAAAACAAAGTCGTTCAAAGCATACCATGATATGTGAAAGATAGCGTTTACTACGATAAATGGGTATAAAACTCTCCACAGCGCCTGTAGTTCGAGAACAACCAATGTGATTAACACAATCCGAAAGCATTTAGCCACAAATTACGCTCTTCCATGACCATCATCATGTGAGGCACAATGTGAAGCATGTGAAATACACACTGAAGTAGACCAAGCAAGACGCGTGTCTAACCTCTTTGTACAGAGCGCTTAGGCGATAATTTTGCCTAGCTCCTGTCGCTTGCTGTAGCTCATAGAGATTCGTACTATAACCTTGAGGAAAATCGGGCGGTGCGAGCGTTCAACTATTATGGAAATGTTGGGAAGTACACAGTTAGGATGGTCTTGCGTTAATTAGCAAACTGCGTACGGGTGTTTTCAGTTTCAATTTCGTTCTGCGGACAGCAGCTTCACCCGGCCTACAGTGTTCACAGTCATGTGTATATGTGTGTGTCGGGCAGTGGCGCAAAGACCGGTAATTTCTTGAAAGTGGCGGGAGCATGCTAGCTTTCCTGGTTTAGTCAACGTGGCATATTTACGGTTGGTATTTGATAGTTTTGGCAAAGTGTCATTCACGAACCGATCCCCGTAATATTGTTACGCCTGAAGTAGGGGTACGGGGGTTTATTGAACGGAAGCTGGGATAGCGAGGCCGCACCGGATAAAACTGCCGAGAGATCTTCTTCTTCCCAAGTCCACACTTCTATTCCCTCTTATCAATCCGGCACATACACGTCGTAATATTTCCCCCTTCGCAGACGAAGCGCACCGCGCGTTTCATGCATCGTCCCGCAGTCTAAAAGCTTTGAGGCGAGCCACATGGGTAACCTCGGTCTTGGTTGATCGTCTCCCACTAGCTGTCAGTCGTGCTATTTTATAATCTACTGCACTGAGGCGCTCAAGGACAACGAATGGGCCAGTGTAGTGGGCGAGAAGTTTTGTGGACAAGCCACGCTTGCGGATAGGCTTCCACACCATTACAAGGTCTCCCGGTTCATATGTGACGTGGCGGTGCTTGCTGTCGTAGCGGAGCTTTGAGCGGTCTTGCGATGCTATAGTACGCAGGCGGGCAAGACGCCGAGTTTCTTCTGCAAGGCATAGTGTTTCAGCTAATGAAGGATCGTCATTGTCATAAAACGAAAAGATAGTGTCCAGGGTATAACGAGGGGGTCGAACGTAAAGAAGGAAGAAAGGGCTGTGGCCGGTGGTTTCGTGTTGGGCAGTGTTGAAGGCATACGTGATGAACGGTAAGACGTCGTCCCAGTTCTTGTGATTGGACGCCACGTACATTGAAAGCATATTCACCAGTGTCCGGTTCGTTCGTTCAGTAAGGCCATTCGTCTGTGGATGGTAAGGTGTCGAATGACGAAGTTCCGAGCCACACATACGGAGCAGTTCCTCAACAACGTCTGCCGTAAACTGACGGCCGCGGTCGCTTATTATGACGCGAGGAGGTCCGTGGCGCAGTATGATAGAGTGCAGGAGAAAGGAGGATACTTCGCCAGCAGTCGCAGATGGCAGGGCGGCCGTTTCGCAGTAGCGGGTCAGGTAATCGGCGCACACTACAATCCAACGGTTGCCTTTTGCCGAGCGTGGAAAAGGGCCCACGAGGTCAATGCCAACTTGCTCAAAGGGAGTGCTGGGAGGCGTCACAGGCTGTAGAAGTCCAGCCGGAGCAGTCGTGACTGATTTGTGCGTCTGGCATTGAGTGCAACTGGCCACGTACTGCTCAACTGACTGGCGCATGCGTGGCCAGTAAAATCGCTCCTGTGTACGAAGGAGTGTTCGCGTCATTCCCAGGTGACCCGAAGTTGCGTCGTCGTGCATGGCGCGCAGAATGGAGGAACGGAGTGTGTGCGGCACCACCAGCAAGAAGCGGGAACCCGTGGCCGAGAAGGTCCTCTTGTAAAGTAATCCTTCACGAACGCAAAAGCGTCCGGCCAAAGTGGACGCTCGTGCTTCAGCAAATAATGGCTCCAAGCTGACATCCTTCCGCTGTTCATTTTCAAAGGTGGTCTTGTCCGGGAATACTGGAGTCACTGACGCAATTAGGTGATCGAAATTGTCGGCATCGCAAAGTGTTGTAGTAAGCGGCATCCGCGAAAGGCAGTCAGCGTCAGCGTGCTTCCTGCCACTCTTGTATGACACCGTGAAGTCATACTCTTGCAAGCGGAGGGCCCAGCGTGCCAGGCGGCCAGATGGGTCTCGGAGGCTTACAAGCCAGCACAAGGAATGATGGTCTGTGACCACTTGGAAGGGACGACCGTACAGGTATGAACGGAATCGCTGTACAGCGAAGACGAGTGCCAAACATTCTTGCTCAGTCACTGTGTAATTCCGTTCTGGTTTACTTAAAGTTCTGCTGGCATACGCAATGACATGTTCCTTTCCACTGTGTCGTTGTACTAGAACTGCACCTATGCCAATGCCACTGGCGTCAGTATGAACTTCGGTCGGCGCCGAAGGGTCGAAGTGTCGGAGAATGGGCTGCGATGTGAGTAAGAACTTGAGTTGGTTGAAAGACGTCTCACAGTCATGTGTCCATTCAAAGCTAGTACCTTGACGTAGCAGACTGGTCAAGGGGAAGGCAACGTCGGCGAATGCGGGAATAAATCGGCGAAAGTACGAGCACAGGCCTAGGAAGCTGCGAAGCTCTTTCGTTGAGCGAGGTGGTTTGCACGCTTCCACAGCTGCTGTCTTGCTCGGGTCAGGCCTGATCCCATCTTTGTTCACAAGGTGCCCAAGTACTAAGGTTTGTCGCTCGCCGAAATGACACTTCTTCGAATTAAGAACAAGGCCAGCGTTTCTAATGCATTCCAGAACAATGTCCACGCGTTCGTTGTGCTCACGAAATGTGCGCCCAAAGATCACGATGTCATCTAGGTAGCACATACAGACGTTCCATTTTAGGCCACGCAGAATGGTATCCATGAACCTTTCGAATGTGGCAGGAGCATTACATAATCCAAACGGCATCACGTTAAATTCATAAAGTCCGTCTGGAGTTATGAAAGCAGTCTTTTCCTTGTCCGCTGGATGCATGGGAATCTGCCAGTAGCCTGAACGTAAATCGATAGACGAGAAGTATGACGCCGAATGGAGACAGTCCAAGGCGTCATCAATTCGTGGAAGAGGATAAACATCTTTCTTCGTGATGGAGTTCAAACGGCGATAGTCGACACAAAATCTCCAGGTACCGTCTTTCTTTTTCACAAGGATCACAGGAGCTGCCCAAGGGCTCGATGATTCTTGAATGATGCCCTTTTGGAGCATTTCACGCACTTGATTGTCTATTATCTTGCGCTCGGACGGCGATACTCGGTACGGTTTTTGTCGGATTGGCTGTGCT